TCAAGTAGCCCAGCATCTGAGACACCTCACTGCGCAGGCTCCAGTTACTCTTCAAACAGATGTGTGTTACTCGGTTACACAGCTTCACCCACCAAGCCTTGTCTGGCCTTTTCCCAGTTGGTTCTAGCCTGGGATCCAGTGTACAAATCCAATACTGCATGTCTTGTGCATAACTGTCTTAAAGGGTTTTATTTTGTGTATTATATATATATGAGTAGTATACTTTGCCATATAATGGAAAAAGATCTACCTGTGAACAGCGCAACGCAGCGTCACCCCAACTACAATGCCAAATAAACCTTGAGCAGTGGCTACTGTTAATGTAAAAAAAAAAAAAAAAAAAAGACATTAGAAACAGTCCACTAAGATGACAGGTATTTCAAGCATGGTTTTCTTGTTACATATTTGTTGTTCTCCATGTAGTTGCTTAGTTCACAGATATCAGCATACAGAGTTAGCCACACATGTATATATACAAGATGGCTAAGGCAATTGTCCTAAGAATTTCCATCAATTTTTTGAAAATAGCAGGTAATGGGTAGAATTCATACAAGATGCCCATTTTTGGACTGGGTCTTTCAATTTGGGGGGCCTGACTTTTTAAAAATTCTTTGTATGTTCTACATAGTAGGCTTTTGTCAGAGGGACAGTTGGCTATAATATTTTCCCCATTTTGTGGATTTTCTTTTCATTCTGTTGGTAATGTCTTTTGAAGTGGAGAAACTTTTCAAAAAGATGAGGTCCTAGTTGTTGATGCTTTGAGCTATTTCCAGTGCAATGCTTCTCCACTGGAATAACCATTATGGAAACCAGTGTGGAGATTCCTCATAAAGGTAGGATTAGGGATCCCATTCAAGCCACCTATTTCTCTAGTGGATATTTTTTTCCAGAAGAACTGAAAACATCACAGCACAGCGATATATGTGCACCCATAGTTATAGCAGAGCAATTTGTTGTAGCCAAATCTTGGAAGCAATTGAAATGCCCATCAGTTGAAGAATGGATAAAGAAAATGTGGTATTTTTCCACAGTGGAGTAGTATTCAGGTATACGTAAGGATAAATTTTTTGACTTTTATTGGTAAATAGATGCAACCAGAAACCATATTCTTAAGTGAAATAAATCACACCTGCATGTGCAAAACATATTATCTTCTTAGTGTGAGAACCTCAAAGAAAAAATAAAATCTGATGGGTATAATAGATCCTGGGAAAAGTAAATGCACCTGATCAAAAGGAAGAAATTTCTGAGTTAAGAAGGACAGGAGAAGGAGTGGGGAAAAGACATGTATCTATGTATGTAAACAGGATGGTTTAAACAACTATACTGAGGATTTCTGCTTGTCTGTGGAAAGGAGCAGTTAATGCTTAATTTGCTTAGTCTTCTTTTTTCAATTATTTTTCCATTTTCTGTTCTTATTTTCTTACAGATTTTTCTTTTTTTTTCTACTTCTAGTTTTGTATGCATGTATCTGGCAATATGAACAACTAATATGAAGACAACACTATGCAATATAACAAATAGTATGGAATTCATATTATTTTGTTTAGTGAAATTCTGTATCATTTGTAATTTTTTTGTTTTAATACCACTTCATAATCTTTTTGAAAAAAAGAAAGTAATGGGGAGTAGTTTGAATAAGGGTTGCTAGGTGATTGGCCTTTGTCAGGTCCCTTTACCTCTGTAAGTGTTTGTTTCATTATGCATGAAAAGTGACCACTAACAGAAGAAATTTTATAGCACTCTATTAGATAAAATATAATGCAATACATTATGTGTCCTTAGTTAGCAAAGTTTTTGACAAAATGTATCAATTAGGTAAATGTTATTAGGTAAATGTTATCTAGGGTATTATTCTCTTGTTCTTGGATCTCTTACTGGATCAGTCAATAGAAATAAGGAAGGCCCAAAATCTGGGGAGTTTGCCTAGATTTTCTAGATTGAGCAAAATCAAAACTCTTTGTCCACCATGGGCCTGGAACAGAGCACTGTTCTTGCTTCTCTGTCATTCAGCACGTATCCAGGAGGAGATGCGAAATCTATATAAGCCTGGAATGAATCCTAATGGTGAAACTTGTTTGGTGTCTAAGAAGAACTGAGAGGAGATTCAGTTTAGGACCCTGAGCAAGAAGAGTTCAGGTACTCTCATTGCTATGGCTGGAGAGGCAGCAGATGTGTCTTGTTGCTTAGGTCAGTAGAACTTGCAGTCTGATTAAAAAGGTATCATGCAGGCCAGTCTACATACTGGTAAGGAGCAGGAGAAGGGTCTTGGGAATGCATATTGCTTATGTTAATCCTACAGTGGTGGTAGGGAGAATTAGCTTCTCCTACAGATGTCCATGACCTCATTTCTGAAACCTATGAAGAATAATATCTTACATGATAAAAGGAAATGTGCAGATATGCAGATGTGATTAAATTAAGAGCCTTAAAAGTATACTC